TGCATAAAGAAGAAACTGTGTGCAAAAAACATGGTGTGTTTATATGAAGGGATGTCTGTGTCTAGGGTGTGTTTATATGAAGGGATATATGTATATAGGGTGTGTTTATATGAAGGTATATCCGTATCGAGGGTGTGTTAATATCAAGTGATAGCGATATTTAGGGTGTGTTTATATCAAGGGATACCTGTAACTAGGCTGTGCTTAAGTCTAGGGATAGCCAAAAATGGGATGTGTTTTCCTATGGGTAGCCTTATCTAGGTTGTGTTTATATATCTTAGATAGCTGTATTTAGGGTGTGTTTATATCTAGGAATATCCAGCACCAACCTTGGGTGGTACGGGGTCTATTGCAAACATTCAGGGCGGGGCGGGGCTCCTTACTACCAAAAAGTAGTATAATAAAAATCTTAAAGTTTAGTTGGTATTAGTATTCCCCTCTTTTAGCGAATTTCCCTATTGGGAAGTAGCTATTACCGTAGTTGGCCCGGTAAGACCTGGAGCCGGGACCGATGTACTTTATCATTTTGATGTCCCTAGAGGCCAAAACTCAAAACACAAAATTTCCCAATTTATCTCAAGAGAATTTTAAAGAGCTTGAATCAATTATTTAGTACGTATACCAAAGTGTTTATGTACTGGTTACGGAGAAAATTTAAATACCCCCGCCGCAAAAAACCTGCAGACTAAGCGAATTTCAACTTGTCTTCCCTATCTAAATAACATTAGATTTAAAGAGTGCTTAGGTTTGCTGCCGCGGGGAGGTTAAAAAGTTGTTTTGACTATACGTCAATAGTATAGGATGAAATAAATAAATTTGCCAAGTTTTATCAATATATATCCATAAACAAGTAAACTACAACAATTTTCATTTTCTCCTTAATAGTCCAGTCAATGAATGCTCAAAAGAGGGGTGTAGAGGACATGGAGAGGGGGAATTTTTTTTTCTGCGGGAATGTGTTCGGGGTAGTTAGAAGATAAAAATACCAAAAGTCCCCGCCCCTGGCCCTGCTGCTTCAGCGGGGGGAGGGGGGGAAAGACCCCATTTTTTAGTTTTTTACTTCTACACTGAAAACCGTGCGTCGTATGGAAAAAATGTAAATTATAAAAAGAAAGATGATAAAATTCTCTACAAGAATGGTTATATTCATTTCTTATGTATATGCATTAGTTTTAAAGATATTCTCAAAATAATATAAAAATTATTTTCTAAATTGATTTTTCAGAAGTTTTTTTCCAAATAAATTCATATAATCGATTAGCCTGCTGTTGTTTTACATTAGTAAGGATAGAAAACAGGTTTTGGAGCACTAACCTATATAATATAATATATCCATCGTATATATTGTGTTCAAAATAGTTTATATAAATTTATTTAAGTAATCTATTTTTGTCATGGAAACAAGTAATTTTGGCATAATTATTACACTAAAAATGAAAAAGATTATGTTTGCAGCTACATTTGTCCAGGTTTATTTATAACAATTACCGAAACCAAGACTTTTAATACTATTGTTCATGATCTGACTCACTTGGGACGAGAGGGTCCGACTTCTGTCCCAAAAACAGGTGCCATCTAAGACTGAGTACCACCATCTAGGACATTTCCATCATTCAATTCTTGTTGATTAGACTCAATATTGGCTATCGAAGTAATAATGCGGTGTAGGCCTATATATTCTTTATCTTCCTCATTCATTAGAATTGGCATTCCATGTAAAAAGTTCCCTTAGCAGTTCTGGCATAACGGGGTACAATTGGACATTTTCTTGCATGCACAAATTGCACATGTGGCACTGTTATAATCTTTAGTACATTCGGTAAAAAACTTGGTTAAGTGATAAACTGTTCCTGGTTACTATAATGTTGGTGTCTCTGTTCAAATGAATACTTACTGACCAGTGGCGGTCCCTGGTGTGGGGGGGGGGTCAGGGAGGTATATATCCTCTCCGAAATATTTTATTACCTAACATACATACTATTAGCTTGAGTATATTTTAGAGCCCAAAAACATATAAAACTACGTAATAATTATGCTTTAACTTCCACATTTTTTCGGGGGGGGGGGGGGGGGGTTGGACCCTCTGGTGGTTATCCCCCCCCCCCGAAATTAAATGCTGGGACCGCCACTGCTACTGACTTTTTCAATCTGTAGCGTCTTTCTTGGTCTGCCATCTTCGTGCTGTTTTCTGAATTGCTATAGTATTGAACAGTGCAGCCTTTTTGGTCTTTCTCATACCACTCTCATTAAATAAAGGGAAATGGAGCAAGTTCAAATCGTTAACAATCCTTTAAATGTTGATTTTTTTGTATTGATACTATGTTGAGCTTTTTTAACTTATACAAATCCTTTGAAACAGAATTAAAGGTTTTGCTATAACGTTTTAATCTTTGCAATATTGATGGTTGAACCCACAGATGACAAAGGGAGAGCCATATTTTCCCGTGACAACTTGTTGTCCGAAAATGATTACCATTTGATTAATTACTTACTGACCACGTAATAGAGCATCGTAACAGTTAACGGATTCATCTCCTACAACCCCAGATGCTATTGACATGATGTCTTGAGTTTCAGGGAAGAGTGGGTGATTTTCAAACATTGCTGTCTGTTTAAAAATATATAAAATTTCATCATATTTATCATTTTATCAAGGACAACTCTGTTTGGAAAACCAACTACCCTCAGAAATGTGGGGTTGGGAGTGCAAAAAGGTAATCTGTTTTCAGTTTTAACCAACGAACCACCTAACCCACGAGAAATTAATGTTGGGCTTGTTTTTTTTTCCAAATATACTAAAGACTGTAGCAATAAAAGATGTACATGCAATGAAATGTCCATTAATTGTTCCTCGTTGGCTGTTATGCCAGAACTGCTAAGGGGACCGTTTAAATAGAATGCCAATTCTGATAAATGAGGATGATAAAGAATATATACACTGCACTCTCACATCGATAGCAGATATTGAGTCTAATGAACAAGAATTGGATTATGGAGAGACCATGAACAATAGTGTTAAGTCTTGGTTTCGGTAATTGATATAAATAACCCTGGAAAAATATAGCTACAAACATAATCTTTTTAATTTTTAGTATAATAATTATGCCAAAATTACTTGTTTCCATGACAAAAATAGATTACTTAAATAAATTTATATAAACTATTTTGAACACAATATATACGATGGATATATTATATTATATAGGTTAGTGCTCCAAAACCTGTTTTCTATCCTTACTAATGTAAAACAACAGCAGGCTAATCGATTATATGAATTTATTTAAAAAAAACTTCTGAAAAATCAATTTAGAAAATAATTTTTATATTATTTTGAGAATATCTTTAAAACTAATGCATATACATAAGAAATGAATATAACCATTCTTGTAGAAAATTTTATCATCTTTCTTTTTATAATTTACATTTTTTCCATACGACGCACGGTTTTCAGTGTAGAAGTAAAAAACTAAAAAATGGGGTCTTTCCCCCCCTCCCCCCGCTGAAGCAGCAGGGCCAGGGGCGGGGACTTTTGGTATTTTTATCTTCTAACTACCCCGAACACATTCCCGCAGAAAAAAAAATTCCCCCTCTCCATGTCCTCTACAATACCTTTATTGACTGGACTATAAGAATAACATGGGAATTTTAAATTACACTATTTTTGAATTTTCTCCGTGACCGTTAGGCATACAACAGCACTTCAATATACTAAATAATTTCTTTTTTTAAGCTCTACAAAACAGTTCAAAAATAAATTACAAAATTCTTTGTTTTTAGGGTCAAAAATGGGAAAACCCTATTTTTACCCCATAAAAACCCTCATAAACCCCCGTTCCCATGGTCCGATTATGCTGGATCGCGAACTCGTTCGAATAAACGTAGGTTTACTCGTTTGTACCAAATTTCATCAAAATCGGATACACACACACACACCCACGCACGCACACACACACACACACACACATATATATATATAAATATATATATATATATATATATATATATATATATATATGTATATATATATGAATTTGAACGGATGGTGATTTTGGCCTCTAGGGACCTCAAAATGAAAAATTAAACCAGTCTCGGGTCCAGGTCTTACCATGAGTACTACGGTAATAGCTTATTCCCTATATGGGAAATTTGCTAAAAGTAGCAAATTTAAAATTCCCATTTTATTGTTATGGAGAATATTGTAAAATGGTGTAGTTTGCTTGTTTATGGAAATATGTTGATCAAACTTGGAAAATTTATTTATTTTATACTAAGTTACTAATATTTTACCAAATAACCAGTTTATTAGCCTCCCTGTAGCAGCAAACCTAGGTACTCGTTAAGCCTAAGTTATTTAAATAGATTTAATTTTAAATCAATTCAGGCAAATGGAAATTCACTTAGTCTGCAGGTTGGCTGCGGCGGGGTAATATTATTTTCCATTATTGTTATAATTTACTCAAAATTCACAGAGTTTGTGCAATATTTTGTATTTGTATTTTATACCATGTGTGGCACCCCCTGAAATGCTGGGTGGGCCTCTAAAGCTGGCCCTAGGATAGCCATACATGGGGTGTGTTTTCCTTTGGGTATCCTTATCTAGGTTGTGTTTTAGTTCTGTATAGCCTTATCTAGGCTGTGCTTAAATATCTAAAGATAGTTGTATCTTATCTATGCCCCAAGTAAACTTATACAGTTTTAGTTCTGAGAGATCAACTTGTTAACATGTCATTAAAATGTATAAAAATAACCACAGTATTCAAATATTTTACCTATAATATAACTTTATCTTTTGCAAGATCATTTTTGAAATAGCAAAAATAGACAATATTCAAAACAAATTGTATCTGTCTTTTTTGAATGACTGAGGAGCAGGCAGTATGATGTGAGTGTCTTCTTATCTGAAGATTGAGCTTTGATTCCAAATCCAGTTGTCATTAGCTGTCAGCATTAAGGATGACTTCCATCAACAGGTGTTTGTACATCACTTTTTGTTGTTGCAGTACACAGTGAATGCATCAAGAATGATTGTTCCTTTGGAAAAGAAGCCTTCTATACGAATAGCAGGATATTTGGAAAAGAGGGGGAAAATGGTAAGTAAAACTGAAATTTGCATCACACATTTTGGCTGAACACTAAAAATCCAGTATTATTACATCACATGACGTATATCCAGTTCGAAATTCAAGGATTGCAATCCTTTACTTTAAACCTATACTCATCCTTTAAACCTGTGTGGCTTGTGGTCATTCAGTTGTTCAAAATAACTGTTTGATTTCTTTTGGTTAAGGTATAAAAGTAAAATATAATTGTTATAAGACATTCTTGTAAGCACTCAAAAATATATCAGAAAATTGTGCTCTAGCTTTGAATTGTAAAAGGATTTGAAGAGTAAGTTTAGTTATAAATAGTAAACAGGTTCTCCTATGTGACTATTGGGTGAAAAATTACATGCTCGCCAATGATGGGTATATAACATTTATAGTTTTATATTTAGCTCACCAATGATAGGTATATAACATTTCTAGTCCTTATATATAATACGTGAAGGCAATTTCTACGAAACACTACTCCTCCGTTAATAGTGGACCGATTTTTACAAACGACGTGTCAAAATAAAGTATTTTTTGTCTAGACGCCCCCTTTCACCAATTCATGTAATAAAAATTCTCGGGCTTTGCCCCACAGGCCATCAAAGTTGGAGTTTCTCCCATAAGATTAACATGGGGGAATCTAAATATTTAATTGGAAACTTTGTCCCCACTAATTTGAGAGAACGGCTGGGCGTAGAAACTTGGTAGAGGTGTCCAAAGAAAGGTCTTGGTCTGTAGATGAGTTATCAAAAGAAAAACTAAGCAAAATCCCTTAGGATTCTGCCCCAGAAGCCTTTAAAGATCCCTCCACAGAGTTGTTTACATTTTGGCCATGAATAATCTAAGGGAGTATGTTTTATCTATGATAATACTTTTTAATGAAACAGCTGTTCATTTTTAAATTGTATTTCAAACAACATATACTTATTGGAAGTTACTGAATTCTACCAAATAAGTATTTGCAATGTTATTTTCTGATTTTAAAATTGATTTTCTTCTTTATCATGTTATGTTTTGCAATAATTGTATTTCATATACACATCAGAAGCATTTAATATACGACTCCAACGGAAGGAAAACAAAGATATAAAACAAAAAACAGTGTTAATTTTAAGTAACATAAAATTGATGATTTTAAAAACATAGGCCTATTTAGAATATTTGTCATTTTATATATGGTTTTTTTACTGTCGTCTAAATTAGGGGCTATGGCCCCTATAGGCCACTAGTTATATAACATTTCCAACATTTTTACAAAAACCAAATTTTCCACCAGAGACTTTTTAAAGTTGACCCACAAGAAAGAAAACTGTTAACTTATTAACATTTATTTATTTTTGAATTATTTTTAGCTTGCTTCTTTATTAATGTAGGGGTTTAAAAATATATTGTCTATTTTTGATCAGTTTTTATTTTTTTTATACCCTTGCACGGACTTATATAGCCTTCCCCTGTACTTGGAGGGGAAGTAATTTAACTAGAAGAAAAATATATTTTATGTCTGTTTTTTATTGCCTTAAAACATAAAACAAAGTAGGCTAAAAAATTAAGTTTTGATTTTGTTTAATAGAATAGATATAAGAATAACATACAAAATTCTTAGCTAAACTTAAATAAACATAAGATTACAAGTAAGTATTATTAAACAACTAAAAAAAGTTTGGGTATAAGTACCTATACATTTTAAATAAACTCAAAAGTAAACTGTATCAGTAATTTTACACATACTTTCTCTCATTAGCTTGCCAAAAACCCTTATCATGAAAATCCTTATGGGGAGTGGAGGGATAAAGTGTGGTATTTTATGGGTAAAATCACATAAGCTGTAACTCCTGAACCAACCTTTTTCTAAGTAGCCTATTGGGAGTTGTAGGCGTACCATTCTGTTTAGAACTATAAGAACCACAAAATAAAATAAAACTTTGATCAAAATCGGTGGAGCCCCCTTTTCATAAATTACAATATTTTCGTAATTTCGTGCTTTTTATGGAAAAAGCAAATAAGTTAAAATAACTGTTGCATAGCAATTTTTACAGCGATGGGGGTTATGCGCCGTTTTGATTAGAGTAAAAGGGACTATTTAATACTAAATTTGTATCAACATCGTTGGGGCCGTTTTTGGGAAAATTCTATTTTGATTCTTTATGCTTTTTATGAGAAAATCACCATATAGAACATTTTCAAAAAATAAAAGTAAACACAATGCATATGTACGATACCATGGATTTGTACCCACACACCAAGTTTAATCAAAATTATACCAAAGGTGGTCCGTAGCTCTGTACACATCCACATATACGTAACTTAATTCCAAACAATATTTTTTTGTGTTTGGGGGACCCAAAACGAGTACATCCACCCAAAACTCGATCTCCAAAAAATTGACGAAAACAATACTCTCACCATAAAGGCCTACTAAGTATAGGGGGAAAAGTAATAGTAATAATTAAACAAAATATGTACTATTTCTAGGGAGACGGGAGCAGAGCAGACATGGGCTTGGGCTCTCATGGTTATTTCCCGGGGCCACATTTCTTCATTGTGGTTTTCTGTGTACTTTGAGTGTTATTCCCCTGAACGAGGTGAAAATACAACTACTGTTTACTCTAAACGCATACTTATCTCAATTTTGATTTTTTTTACCATGCTCGTTTTTTCTCTGACCAGATAAGTCATTCTGAATCTTCCATGATGTGAATAAAGGTCAATCGTCCAGGTCACAATTACATAACAATTTAAAATGACTCAGCTCCTGTTGTAAGACGAGGGGTAAGGATTAGAAGAAAACCAAATAATTTTGACTTGTGAAGGAGGGATGAAAGTAGTAGCATTGTAGTAGTTAATAAGTTTATAACATAATGGTAATTGTTCAACATATGTTTTGTGTTATTGTTTTATATTTTGATTGATAATAATAATTACGAGCTGCTATACCCGTGCTTCGCAACGGACAGAAAACGTGGAAAAGAATAATGTTGTTCTTTAATTTAATCTGCTGTCTAAAATCATTGTAAAATTCTTTACTTATTTCCAACCTAAAGCTCCAACCTCCAACCTAAAGGTGAGTGAGCGTAGCGAACAAACTTCAACCAGGACGTGATTGAGCCATGCGAACGAGATAATCTTGAAAATTAAGAAGTTAAACGGGGCAAAGCCCGCGGGTTACAGCTAGTTACTTTTAAATCTGGTAAGTAGTGGATACCACCATTTTGGTTTTGATTAATTTTAAATCTTGTGTAGGCTGATATGAGAAAAACTGACCAAATCTTCGAGTAAAACTTTGATATACATGATTTACCAGATTTACCTTCATCTCCCTTAATTACACATCTTTTAATTTATTATTGACATTTTAAATTTCAATTTTGAAGTTGCAAAAATACTAATTATTAAATTTAAATATCTTTATATTAAACTCTTCTTTATATTAAATCACAAATCCTTTCATCTTCAGTTTTTTCACTCACTATAAATCATTAGCAAAACTAAGTCAGCTGTTATAAACTTTTGAAATAAATATTGCTGTGCCTTATCAATACAGTCTTTTGAAATATTAAAGAAACTATATCTATAGGTACTATAAAAAATTGCCGGAGTTGATACAGCAACGGTTATACATTTTTTTTCTATAATCATTGACATAGTTTTAGAATAAATAATCCATGATAAAAGGTTAGATTAAAATAAACCTACCTCATATTTATGCAAAATATTATATTTAATTTCTTTGTATCAGCTGTCTGAAATTGTGAAATATGCAGTTTAGCAGTTCTTCTTGTTTATATTTAAATGTCAAAGCAAATGTAAACAAACATTGTTAGTGTTCTCATCACATCCATGGAGACCAATCAATATTTACTTTTAAAATGTTCACCTCAGAACTTTTAAAGCCAAAGGGGCAAAGCCTACGGTCAGTATCGAAATGTGAATAGTCCTATAATGGTCCTTGGTATGGTAGCTATATTTTTGTAAAGTTTAAGCCCAGTTGGTTCAGTAGTTTTTGCACCTATTAGTAATACACATACAGACAGACACCATTAGATTTTTATATAATAGTATAGATATAGATAAACAATGACAAAATCACAGAGTAAATAAACTAACCTCATGGTGTACTAACATTCTATAGAATATGTTTATATTCAAACAGCTGTTAGTTAAAACGAATTACTGTATAATGCACTAAAACAAACCAAAGATTTTATTGACTGCTCTAACAAATATATTAGAACATCTAGTATTTTAGTATGTACATTTAAATAATCTGTCAATGATCATACATTACACATAGTATAAATAGGTCAACCCTACGTATGTTATTTCATTTTTATCCAAATGCTGAATTTGTGTCACAGCCGCTGAATGTTTACAGCTGTTACGTTAAGCAAATTGTATTATACCAAAAGCTAGTCTAGAATCTTAGCGTCGGCTGCTAGACTAAAAAAAAACTGAACTAATTTCTAAAAAACTGAAAACCTAAACTATAATTATGGCTTTGACATTCCCCTAGTTCTCAAAACTATCTTTCTTTCAAAACAAAAATCATGAAAATCCGTCATGAAATCCGCAAGTGGTTGATTCCGAATCGTGAAATAAAAAAACCCTGTCACGTTTTATATATGATAGGCCTAATGATGATAATCACTATAAAATATATAATATAATAGTATTTGATTTTATATATTCAAGTGAAAATTTTGCATATACACTTTATTCTAGTTGTGTATCTTGACTCTACTACTCTGATTATTAGATCTGAACTATTTTTGTTAATCAAAACAAACTGTTATCTGCCAGACCTAACAAGGAAGTGTGAAAGTGTGATAAACTATTTCATGTCAGACTTAAATGATTCATTAACCTCAGTTATTTATGGGGGTTTTGTATGATTAAGTTGATACATTGTATTCTTTGAAAACTGTTTGTATTGATTGAAAATTGTTTGAAAACTTGATATAAAACACAATTATTGGCTTAGTAAAATTATAATTTTTTATTAA